CACAAACCATTGACCATTCAAATAATTACTTGTGGATTTTTTCAAATTGAAGGATTATCTGTGTGGATTTTCTTCGGACAATATATGATATGGTATGCTACGTAATTCGCAAATTCAACATTCAAAGCAGTTCCCGGATCAGTCAGCTTTTGTTCGACCGTCCATTTCACACTTCGTTCAGCCTTTTGAATCTGCCTCGTTCGGTCGTTACAATATTATTTACACATCTAGCACATCCTCACACAAACATCAATTTGTCGTATCGGTCATCTCGATTCATCATCAGATCAATGGCTATTTTAAGCTGTAGTTGTTGTCTTTTTTTGCAGTTGTGATTTCAAAAATGCAGTTATGAATTTCAGAAAATGCACCAAAAATTTATATTTTCCATGTTGTTCTATTGAAACGACGATTCATTTTTTTTCAACATTAAATATCATGTTGCGCTTCAGATCAAACACTTCTGTATTCCCATTTTTGTTCCAACCGACACATATGCACTAGATAGAATAGATTATGGAACATTTTTGACCCCTCAAAAAAGAAACATTTCAACATTTTTAAAAACTGCAGTTATGATTTTTTATTAAAATAGCCATTGCATCAGATCATTCACATTAACCTTCAACTGCATAAGCCCGCCTTTTGGCGGGCATCATTTAAACACCTGTATAATGTGAACTGTACTTCGGATGACATTGCTTCAAGGAGAATTTTCATTTGTCAATGTTTTTTCTTTATAATTGTCTTTGGCGCTATTTGTCTATGTAGTACGATTGGTGAGTTATAAACAAAAATGTGTACGAAAACGAAAATTTGACAAAATAAATTATTCGGTTTCCAAATTAGACACATTTTTGACACTTTTAAACAATGGATTTCATTGTTCTCTGACTTATGTCTATCGCATTCCCTGACTAAACCATGGGAAATCTAGGATTATGAATATTTTTTTCGTTATCTATGGCCAAAAATCAACCAAATTTCAGTACTCCCAGTCCTGGAAAAAATTCATGCAGTTGAGGGTTAAGATAGCTTATTGCGAATGCTTCTGCTTCTAATACTCTTTGTCCAATTTCGAGTGGTTCTTCGGCTGTGATTCCACGATTGTGAGTGACTCTTGATATTCTCAATCTCTTTTTGAAACTCGGGGTTTTCTTTGACCGACGTTGTCTTATTCTTCTTTGTCGTTGTCTTATTCTTGTATTAAAAGTTTGAATTTTCTCGGTCAGTCGATCCAATTTAGTTTGATCATAATTGAGTACTACTTCAAAATCTCCTTGTCGATTTTGTTGTATTAACAACCTATTGTATATTTTCATGGTCGTGAATTACGTTGAATTTTTTTTCAAGAAAAAATGTGTATATTTTGGTATATTTCCCTTCTTCTTCGTTTCCGCCTGGTAAAAATTTAGAAAACCGAATCGAAATTAGCAGGACCATCATCTCAGAATTCGATTCAAAATTTCTTCACTGTGGTTAGTGTTCCAATTCGCAATAAATTCATGCATACAATGTCGATCAAAACTCTAATATTGATTCAAAAATAAGTCTTGCAAAGGGATTTGTCTCTCATAAACACCATGAATCTATTGGCATGTTCATGTTAAACTGCATTAACTTGGTGTTCTTATCGTTCTTTTTGCATTTGAGCAATCCATTTCCGCAAGCATCATATGGCATTTCAACTTCTGTTATACATATTTCATTCTTGGTCATAAAGTTGACTTGACACTTTCCTTCCGGCTTGATTGTGATTAACCCTTGGAAGGATAGATTTGAACACAGACAAGTTTTGAGCCAACAACTTTGAAATCATTCAACATAACACAGATTTTTTTGTGAATCTTCTTTCCTCTCGCTTTCGATTTGTTGATTGAACTTCGTACATTTTATAGGAGATAACCCGTGTCATCTATTCAATGCTATCGCAAAAATTCCACAATCAAAACCCAAGCAGAAGAGTTAACTTGTCAAAAATATGTCGATAGAGGCAATAACGGGAGTTCGTAGTGTCACTTTTTTGCCCGATATTTCAGATAAAGGCCACGAATTTGTAAAAAAAAAAAGCTAAAGTATGAATGAAAAGATCCTCGGCTTGAATGACGTGCGTCTGTCGACGCATTCCGTACGTTGACTATTTTAAGAAATTATGAATCTTACCCGAAATTAATTCATGAGCCGAAACAAGTTTATAATTATTCGAAGCGAAATGCATTCATTGTTCGGTGTCGTGAAACGGCGTCTGTAGCTTACTCTTTCTCTTCCCATTTGGTTTTTTTTTTTCTTTTTCTTGAATGGCGAGCCACTGGTAATTAGTTGAAATGAGAACTGAATTTTCTCCGGCGGTTTGGTTGAATTTTTGCACACATGAATGAACGGGCAAGCGAGCGATTGAGACAGATTGAAAGAGATTGGAAGAGAGTGAGAGAGATAGCGAGGCACAAAGGCAGAGAGTGTTTGACGGCTAAGTGTTTGCCGTCGTAGTGGTGATGGTGTTTATCTTGTTCTGTTTATTCAGTGGTCGCTCGTGTCATTTCAATGAAATCGTGTACATTTTTATGTTTGTTTTTACATCTTGCTGCAGATTTCTTTTATTTTAAACATTCCGTTTTCTCCTTCATATTTTTAATGCGTTTTGAAATTGACAAATAAGCATATGAGCATTTCCAATTTGTACATTGGGCGAATGGAGAGTGGCGGCAATCGTTCTCTTTTTTTTCGTGTTTCGTCATTCCTATATGCATGCGTGTGTGTCATTTGAAGTCTATGTACCAAGCGGAACCCGTAAAAGATATGTCTTCATAAAAATTCGGTTCCTTTTTGAGTTGATGATTTCGATTGGTTGTGCTCTCGCTGTTCATTGCGTGAACATGGATGTTTCGTCCGTTCATAACCCCAAACATCCGCTCGGTTTTGAGATGCTGAGTCCAATCAATTTACGAAAATTCACTGAACCCAACTGAAATGAACAGGGAAACGAATTAACCATAAAAGGACGCTGCTATTTCGTTTCACCCGAAATTCAGCGCTGCGCCAATTGCTTTGTTATTTATTTACTTGTTGTTGTACACTTCTCTGTGTGCCTGGTGAAGCTTGAGTGCGCTAAACTTCGTGTGTGCAAAATAAAAAAAATGAGAAGAACGTGCATTGTCGCAATGGCAATTACGTGTACATGTTAAGCCGAAATCATTTGTTCAAACTCCATGGCCGCAATAAACACATCACGTGTAAACAACTTATCGCGAATATGAGTCGTTTGTTCGTTCTGGCGACACTCTGGAAACACAAATCAAATATATATATATACTACATTGCGCCGACTTGGGCAAATAAAAACAGTTGATTTTACTTGGTTTTTTACTATCTGAATTGATATCATTTTTTATTTTTCGTTGAATTTTTATTGTTTCTTTTACAATTTGGATAATTTGTAGAGCTTAAATGTGGGCTGCGCGGTTGCACTTTATCGCAATTATCGCACCTTAATCTATAAACATATCGGTTAAAAATCTAAAATACAATAAAGTCTTACGTACAAAAATATACAAAATAATGTAAGAATATTGGCGAAATGGTGCGCTGCTGAGTTCCATTCACGCGAATACATAGAGTTTGGTTGAGTTGATACTTTTTAAGCGATCAAGCTCAAAAATCACTCACGTAACGATGAAACATCATTTGTGCAGCTGTTTGCCGGAATCAAAGCGTACCATTTCATTCACTGTTTCTGGTTTGTCACTGATATCACCAAACAAATGGCGAATGGGCTATTTCTCAATGGAAACTTTTTTCTCTTGATTTTCGTTATTTTCTGTTTTTTCTTCTATGTTAACCTATGACAAATCTAACGGCTTACATCCTATTCGGTTGTTTAACGGATTCTCTCTGGTTTCTATTTTACTGTCAGACTATTTTCTTTGTATATTTGTTTCGTACGGTTGCTATTGTATTATATGGCTGTGTTTTTGGTTTGCATTAAGAATGAATGCATATTTGATATGTCATTTTTTTTTACGTGTATGTGTGTCGGTGTCACGGAAAAACCATGAAAATTTCGCTTTTAATTTAGTTTTAGATTTTAAATGGCAGTTATTTGTTTGGTTGTATCATTAATCGATTCGTTTGTGTGTGTGTGCTCATGTGTTTTGCTTACATTATTCTGTACGCTAGCGTATTTCAGTGTGTACTGTGATTCTCTCCTATTTTACTTACACAATCAATTGTGCTCATAAGTAAAAGTGTTTTCAACTACATGCTATGGATTCTTATTGATGATGTAAAAAAAAGAACTGAAACGTACGTGTTAAAAATACGAAACTGAATCAAATGCCTTAAGAAGAAAAAAAAATAGAAATGGTTCAATCCAATTCTGAATTCTGTCTTACGACTAAGCTGCTTACTTGTAATAACATCATAAAATCTTAGGTCTACGGAAAAAAATGCGTTATAATATATGAAACAATTAACTCAATGTTTTAAAAATATTCTCCAATATCGTAAATATATTTAGGTATAAAAAAAAAAGTTTAATGCATTTTTGAATTCGTTTTCTTGTGTTCGCATTGGGTTCAAAGTGAACATTTTTCCAAAAAAATAAAACGGACTTTTCGCTATTTAAAAAAAAAATTACTCTTTTTTAGTAAAAACTCTTTCTCTTTCTTTAGCGTTAACAATTTTCGGCGTTGTGCGCTTCATTTTTTTCTTTAGGAAAAAATCTCTCTTAAAAAATATAAATAGATTCATTTGATAAACGGAGTTGTTTTTTTTCTCGATAATTATTCGTTAAAAAGAAAGAAAGAAAGAAAAAAAAGCAAAAATTTTCATTTTGAAACATGTGTTACAAAAGAAAATAAACTCAAAATTGCAATAAAATAAGCGTAATCTTTTGTTGTTGTTGTTTTTTTTTCATATATTTTAATGTTATATTGTTTAAAATACGGGAAGTTAACTTGTTGTTGTGGCGGGCTGGGTTTGTAAAAGTCATATACAAAAAAATGTGCAGTGTTATATGGTTTTCGATTTATTGTAAATTTGTTTTGCAGTCTGTTATTGATTGTTTTTGCTTGGTATGATGTGTCTATGGTTGGTTTGTTTTGCTATTGTCATGTTTGTTGTTGGTAGTTCGAATGTAAACGGTTTTGGATATTTTAGAACAAAAATAAGATTAAAATTATGAAAAACGTCCTCTTAAACTGATTTATGCCTAATGGCAGCCAAAATCAGAATTAGTAAAGTGTTGTTTTTTTTTTCAAACACTTTTTTCTCTGTTTTCTCTCATCTAAACTTAAAAATATAGAATTTCAATATAAATATTAAATTTTACTGCTCATAGAGCATTTCCAGTGCTAAATTATGTTCTTTTCTTAACATACATGTAGTTGTGTGTCCATTCCGTTGTGTTTCAAATACATAAACAGTTCATTGTGTGTGTATATATATAACATGTATGGTCTAACGGAAAAGAGTCATATATATATGAATAAACTTCACTTAAAACCAATGAATATGTTTCCTTTTTTCTTTCTGCACTAAAGCTACTGAAAGTTAAGCGTTTTTTGGTTTAATCATCAATCATTTTTAATATTGATTCGAAAAAAATCGTTTTTTTTTTTGTTAAATTTTCTGTGTTTTCCTTCATTTTTTCTAAAACATAAAATAATTCAACTCATTTCTTTAAAGTTTTTTTTGCTACGTATTTCGTTTCAACTTCATTAGAAAATAAAACACACCGCGAAATAAAACAAAAAAAATTTAGTCAAGAAAAAACCAAAAAAAAAATAATAATAATAAATAAAGTATGCCAAAAATTAACACCAAAAACACTACCGAAAAAAGGAGAAAAAAATTGAACTAAAAAATTGCTTTAGAATTTTCGTGTTCGAAAAAAAATTGACTACGTTTGTTTTGTTGTTGATAATTTTGAATTTAGAATGTCATTTGCAAAAAAAAAAAATTGTCGATTACAAGGCTTTTGTGTGTGTATGTCCAAAACGTGACGAATAAAGTCTTTAAAGAAAGAGCCAAATGTCCATATATGAATGTACGCAATCTCTTCAAATATCCTTCTCAAATTTTTCTTCTTCTTTTTTACATAATAACACTGATAAAATACTTTAATTGCTTTTCCCCTCAAAAGTTTGTCTGTGCCACATTCAATCGGTTTATTTTTTATCATCAAAACCATGAATGGTGACTGAAAACTTTTTGAACAAGAATCATTCGATTCGTGTTATTTAAAATTGTTAATGTTAAAGTGCCGTACGTGTGTTTTTCCCCTATTTTTCTTTCATATTTTCATTGAATTAATATACATTTAAACTAGGAAAAGAAAGAGTATATGATAGAAAAGGGAAAAATCGGATAGTTTGAATATTGGAAAATAAATGAAAAAAATGCCTTGATGAAGTATCATCAAAAGTGAAGAAAAAAAAACCGTCGAGGAAAAAGAGAAAATGTGAAAATAATCGCGCAGCGAGCGCACTTCTGTCAGCAGTTGCTCTTCACTTTCAATGCATGAATGAATGAATAATATGACCAATGGAATTGGTTAGACCTATTGACAGGCGTATGTACAATGTTTTGGTAAATTGATGTCTAACCCATTAATTAAATGAATAAATGTGCTTTTTATTAAAATGGGAAACAATACAACGTTCGCCTCACTTGACTCACATCATCAACAAAATAAAAACCATCGGGATTTAACTGATCGTAAGAATGGTCGTTAGCTTAATTCATATGCGTTGTATGAACTGTTGTACGATCTAGTATCTCTCCCTCTCAGTCTCGTTATGTTGAATGAATTGTCGGTTGAGCGTGTAATTTATGCAACGATCGTGTGCTATCTCGTGTGGCATTTTAATGTTGCTTACTTGTGCTCTTTTGTTTTTTTGCTGTTTTGTTATAATTTTTTTTCTTCATTTTTATTTTCACTGGTTCTTGTTTGCATTCGCTTGAAATGATTTATACAAAATTGCATGTAATCGTTTATTCTCATTCAAATTGGAATTCATTTTGGGCGCATGGACACCAGCCAAACATTTTTGTTTTTTTCGGATGAATTGGTTTAAATTAATCATTAATTTGACTAAAACGCGGTAATTGTAAAAAAAAAACAATCGGGCGAATTCACGACTCCAGAGCCGAGGTCGCAACCGTGTGTATAACAATGTACATTACTTTAGCGTACATTTAATGTGGGTTTTTTTTTTTGGCAATTGCCCATTCTTTTTCTAATATCATTTCTATGAAACTTGCAAATTATTTACAATGTTCGGTTTATTTTCTTCGACGAAAAGAAAAAAAAATGAATGTGTGTGAGAGGGAAAGAAAATGAAATTACTTATATTTAAAAGGATTTAAGCTAGGGATTATTTATGGGGGATTCTTCGGTGTTTGGAGTGACTAAAACGTGACATCTTGAACATCCGTTGGGGTACCTGACTGTGATTTCGAGGCAATCTCGATATTTGGTTGTTTGGTCGGTGTCATTTCCAGACTATTCGTATTGCTGGCGCTATTCTCTGTGGCATTGCAATTGATTGTGCTGGTGGTTGTTGTTGTGCTATTGGTTGTGGCCGTTATACTGACATTTCCTGGACTATAATTGTTGTTGTTGTTGATGGTGCTATTGTTATTATTTTGTGGCATATTCTGAGCGGTGATATTCACTGAATAGAACAATCGCTGGTGTTGCTCGAACAAATTTTCCAATTTATTCATACACGTTTCTAGGTACTCCTAATCAAATGAGAAAAAAAGGGAAAAAAGACAACCGTTTTATAGAATGAAATAAAAAAAAAAAGAACTGAAAAGAAATGCAAACTACACAATCTAAATCCGCCCCATATGACTTTCGCGATATATGAAATGCGCAAAATGCAATTGCACTGCATGCATTGCATTATGACTGTTGCTTGATTTGATAGCATTTGGATGTTATCCGATCTACATGTTATCTTTTAACGCGAAAAACTCACACAATGTGTCTGTTTCTGTGGAAAAATATGTGTTCATTGAAGTGAGACTGGCTTTTTTGCTCTTCTTTTTCTTCACTGTCTATAAAAAAATCATGTCATCAGCAGCACCAGAGTCGAGCGGACGAATGACATCGTAAAATATATATATACACATACACACACACGCACACACATATATAATTCGCTTGATATCACCCGAAGTAAACAAAAAAGGAAACACATTTTTCGTTATGTCTACATTCCAAAATCCGCACCGAAAAATTGTTGGAATAAAAACAGTGAATTTCATGCGAAACATTCATATGGATGGAATGAAACATGTGATTTTGCTGTTCGGAATACGAGATGATCGTTGAAATTGGTTGTTGTTTTTTTTTTATCGCGCAAAGCGCCATTCAGTCAGACAAACGGATTGAGTGAATGACAGGAATTTGTTTTCTTTCTCTCGCTCCGTGTGTGCGTGTGAGTGTGTGCGGATCTCATTGCAAATGCGCCAAACAAGTGGCAACAGGATAATCCGATCGAGTTCCATCACAATGTGAACAAGGGAATTAATTTCGAACACGTTATGATTATGTGTGCATTACATTGCCAATCTTGAGTGTGTGTGTGTGTGTGTGTTTTTTTCTGCTGTGCGAAACATCCGCCCTTTCGATTCTGTTGATTTCAAAATCCATTCACGTTTTATAATTCTTTGATGTTCTTTGTTTGTGCAGATTTTTTTTTCGTATCGTTCGTTTTCCTCTTGGAAGAATCACTGATATGCGCGAAATAAAAACTATAATTTTATAGCCAAAAATAAACGTCGTGGTCTGTTTCCATTTGGCGCAAATATCTAATCGAAATTCACATGAGGGATTTGGCGAGCGTTCGCCAATTCAAAGAACGCACCGTGTAACAATCGGAATTTCATTGCAAGAAAAAAAAGAAATTATAAAACCGCGTATTGGCTCCTTTTGTATGGGAGATCGTAAAAAATGTGTCATTGCCGTCGAAGGCGATCGACAAAAACACAAATTCCCTCAAGCACTTTTAATAAAAAATTCAATCCACAGAAAAATCATAAAAACCAAATGACTTATAATTTTTGGCATCTGGTTATTTTTACTAGCAAGAAAAAAACAGTGAAAACACTTCACTTTAATCAACGCAACATTATTTTCGGTTCATATAACGTCACACACACACACACACACACACACAAAAACACACTTCCTTGCGAACAGTCTACGGTGGGCGGATTCACTCTTACTTATATTGATAAAAGAATGGCATTTTCTCTCCTTAGTAATGGACCTTTTTGTTTGTTCATAAGCCATAATAATGTAATTAAATATTGTAAATTACCTTTTCTACTCCCGTCAGATCCTTGAGCAAATCAAGCAATGAACTGATCGAAATGCCGGATTTTATGTGCCAGTCCATGCCATACAGAGATGCTGCTATACTCGATGCTGCCGTCGTACTTGCTGAATATATCGAGAAATTGTGTTCTGAAAATCGAAAAGAAGAGAAATATTCATTAGATTTTAAATCGCATGAGATCAATGGGTGCAACGAATTGTCTATTGAACCAAAATCGAAATTGGAATTTAATCAATGAAACGAGTCATGAATGAATGTGTTTTTCTTCTGTCAGAGAAATTGATTTCTTTTCAATGAACGTAATTTCTCTGTAATTCGATGTCGTGCATAACATTTAAAGAGAAACGCGAACAATTCGTTCATTCACAATATTTTAAATGTGCCAACGGCAAGAATCGAAGCGAATCGCACTTTCCGGTTTTGTTGTGCTTCAAAAGTTAACTCGAATAGTTCATTCGTTCAATTGAAAGATCTAAAACAAGGCGATATAAGAACAAACCGATCCAAGATAAGACGATCTTCTGCGATATCGTGCTTAAATAGATATCTTCCTTTTGATGATTGACTTTTTCTTCAGCAGAGATTCAAAAATTGAAAATATCATGGGTTAATGTATGTATCGCTTGCTATACGGTATAACTTATACCTGCGTTTTTTTTTTTTCATACGAGCATTGAAACGACATAATCAATCGCAAGGCATGCATAAAGTTCATAATGTGTGAACACACACGGATCGGCGCCGACGAATAGCTGATATTTATTTATTAAATATAAAAAATGGGATGAGAAAAGAGCAGAAAGCTGACACGTTGAGATATTTGGACGTGATAAAAAATGAGACAAAAAACCCCGAATACACAGGCTCCATTTCGTACATTAAGATTATTGTCGCATATGTTCCACGTAATGAATATTCAGACGATGAAAAAAAAATTGCATGCAACGATGATCATGGAGTGTAAACAATAGACAAAAAATGCGATTCGTGTTTCCAAGAGCGAGAGAGATGGTATTTAAATTTCTCGTTTACGTCAGTACTGAAGACGTAAAAATGCTAAAATCGAATTAAAGTCAAGATTCTTTTCTCGTGGAATGCAATAAAAGTTGGCGATAAAAAAAACTTTCATTAATTTGTTCCATGTGAGTAAACAAATACGCAAAACCATTCAATAAATAATACTAAACAATCCGTGAAGTTGTAAGCGACGGCAGCGAACAAAAAAATTGCTCGTTTTCGGATATTTGATTTCAGGTGAACTGCAGTGTGTTGCAAAGCAAAAAAAAATGTTCGAAAATTTAAATTAAGTATGGTCATCAAATAACTTTGGTGCAACAAAAAAAAACATACTCACAAGAGAACTAAAGCTCTTTCCATTACACAACGTAATTTCATTCCCTGATTGGTTCTTCTTTTAGCTTTACGGACATGTTTTTTGCAAACACGTAAACTCACACACACAGCAAGACGGTGATTGAATTATCTTTTAATCAGAATATCATCTCACCGATGCCTGCATATGGTTCTCGCAAAATGATAAGAGACATTTTTACCATGAAATCGATAAACACCGAACGCAAAAAAACGTGAAATTCTTGTGGTTTTTCGCTTCTCTCTGGATCACAATTTTTTTCGGTTTTTTTTTTGTTTTTTTTTCTGCTGTTCGCATTTTTTCGTTATAATTTTATTGATCCTAATCACGAACTGTGCGAATAAATTTGAATATTAATAGCGGCTTATTTGCCGGAGATCAGTTGATCAGTGTTAAAATAGCTGGATGACTTAAATACAGACAAATCGATTCTCTTTGATTTGGTCCGCATTTTATCATAATTAGGTGCTCAAAATGAGTGGATTAAAATCTGTTCATAGAAAATAATCGCCCCCAAAAATTGCACGTAAATGAAGCAGGAATGAAAAAAAAGTCTCGTCCGTTGACGAACTATGGAATTTCATTGAATGTTCATAAAAATTGTGTAAGGAGATACCAGTGAAAAATGTTGATTGTGGCAAATGATGAACGTTGGAAATGCCGATCGTTGCGTACGAATCGGTTTTTGGTGTGTGCGACAAAACGTACCAACGAATGAAAAAAAAAAACAATATACCCAAAAACCACTGAACATTCTCCGTCATTGTTTCAATTTCTGTAAAACAAGTCGACAATTGAATGTGCAAATATTTACGTTTGATTTGATTTCGACGTGCACACTCGTTGCATTATTGGCTGTGCTGCCTCATTGAATGTGTCGTCCGTCGTACTTGCTGCACGCATTTCGATTGGAATTTCGGTGCAATCAACCGAGCAACGCGAGTCACATGTCTCGTTGGCCAACATTCCAGTACAAAATGTAGTAAATTTTTGGCCCGAAAATCGAGTGGTGTCGCATAAAAGTGTTTCGCTCGCTGTTTGGCCGAAACCGAATAAAGCGACACAGATAAAGCATTAAATGCATTACAAATGTTTTATCATTTGTAGCGAATGAGCGACCGAAAGACAGTAGAAAGGCAGGCATACTAATGCCGTAATATTTCGCAAATATCGAAAATTAATTACGTATGCCGCATACTGTCGACGACCAAGACGACGAAGACGACTGACATTCATAAATGCCCTTTCGGCCACTTCGAATAAAATGTACAAATTCTTGGGCTGGCTTTGGGCAATGGGCACTGAAACCAGAATATGGTAAAGACAACAAATATTCTATCTCCTTTACAACTGACGGTATGTGCCACTCTCTCCCTCTCTCTATTCCGTCGACGCCGAGAGATTGCATTGCATCCGAATGTGAGAATGCGAAATACGCACATAATCAATCTCTGTGGCCAAACCTTAGCAACAATGCAACTGCATCCTCACTCCTGCACCTCCAAAGTAAATAAGAAAGAATTAAAATGAGCGAGAGCGCAGTGAGGGAAGAGAAAAAAAATGAAGAAATAAATAAGATAGACGACTTGTACGCGCGAATATGTCGACGAACACACACACTCTCACATACACAAACACACACACACACACACAGAGAGAGAGAGAGAGAGAGAGAGAGAGAGAGAGAGAGAGAGAGACATTTGGATGCGCGCGCAGCACCAGCACAAATGAAAACATAAAGCGCCCAGATCGCCATTTAAAAGGAAGAGAGCTGATAACATCGAAATGACCAAATAAAAACCGTGCGAATATATTTATTCAACCCCCAGTCCGTCTTTTTTAACCTTGCTGTTTCGTTTCACATTTTGCGCACAACGCACAGAGAAGGAACAAAAGAGCGAGCGAAGTGCATCGCGCGCATCGCCGATAAAGCGCAAACCATTCGTACAGACTGAATGGGAAAACAACATCAACAGAATTGAAATTATTCACGAAAAAAAAGAACCTTTAAAAGAAGTTTTAAATCTTTCGGTCAGTTTTTATCGAGAACATATTTTATTCGGTCAAAACTGTGCGGTGTTGATTCGCAGCAATGGATTTCGTCATTGTACCGCTCCTCCTCCTTCTTCTTTTTCCCACTTGCTTAACCAATAAGCGATTTAATTGCATTTTTTCACTGAACGTAGAAAAAGCAGCCAAAACAATCCAATTGGATCGAGGCGCAGTCGAATTATGGCATATCCGTGATTGATTTTACGATTTCCAGTGAATTCGAAATTGATTTGTCGCTGTTCGTCTGACACAAACAAAACCATCTTCAGACAATCCGCACGCCGGTTCCACAGTAAAAAGCTTCTTGTGCAGCACGAAAATAACCATTTTTACGCATAATTCCGATTGCGGCTAACAAATCAAGTCAGTGAATTATGTTCTCATCATATTTTGTCCGTGTTGTGTGTGTGTGTGTGTGCGTGTGTGCGTGTGGCGGTGTGTTTCGGTTTTGCACAACGTGTTTCCGTTTTTATGAACATTGTCTCTCTAATTTATTGATTTGGTTGCTGTGGCATTGCACATTCATCTTGTGGGATACATGAGAGACAGATTTTTCCACTGTGGCCACATCGAATTGATGCCGAGATAGTGTGCCGAGAAGTGGAAGAAAAATGGTATGCGCGCACGCCGAACTTAAGTAAAAGCGTAATACGATAATGATAAAAATGTTGAAATGAAAACAACACTTTGGCTCTTGTACAAAGCACTAGTGAATATTGTGCAATGTACATGACACGCTGCTTTCGCAGCGACGGTGGTGGTGGAGAGAGAAAAAAAAACACCGACAAATACTAATAAATGCACCGCAGTCATCGTAATTCGAAATGATTTTTCATTTGAATGGGCCAAAAGTGATTGTAGCCGTTTTTTTTGTTACCAACTCGATATGCTGGTGATTCTCACACGAAGGATTGGCGCGCGATTGAGCACCGTGACGATGAACAAAAGAGCTTAACACGGTCAGCAACAGAGATAGAGTTGGAATGAAGCGAGTAAATCAATGAGATGATGCATTTTAGCTGTCAGCTTCTTCATTCAACTGCGTTTTTGTCTTTAATGATGATGTTCACTTCAATTAATGGAATCGTACAATCTTTCGCTTAAGAATAAGTATTTCGACATTTTTTTTATTCCTCTCTATTCTCTCTGAGCTGCTCCTATTCATTGCTTAATGATATTCCACTCTGGACAAAAAACTGGAGGATAATATTTTGATGCGAGTGAGAAATACTCGGGTTTCTTTGTATTTTTTTTTTGTTCCTTCTCATAAATATTCAAATTCATATCACTCAATCAACCTGTAAAAGACATGCCATGATTGCAGTGTTTACAATGATTTTGACAGTTACTTTTGACGGCGGCAATTAAATGCAATGTAAAATGTTGCAGAAGAAAAAATTGAAATAAAACACAAAAATGGATTCTCACTGTGAATGGATGAGAGAGAGGAAGAAAGAGTGAGAATGCATTAGCGCACACCAAAAAGGATTGATGACTTCATTTTCATTGATATCTCGTTCCTTTTATGCAACATTGTATTGGATGTTAAAAGTCACACGGTTTTCGATGAAAAAAAAACTTACCTCTGGCTGCCAATGAGATGAAGGCCTGAGCGTGCTTTTTGATTTTGCTGACGTCTGTGTGTTGCTTATTGATGGGTAAACGTACTAATAAATGCTCTAGGAAATCCAATGGAGTCACTGATGATATATTCCATTTCAACTTGTTTAACACAATCAATTCCCATTGCTGCAAAAAAAAAAAAAAGGAAAGAAGAGAAGAAGAAAAATTGAAAATTTAGTCATTGAAATTGAATAATGGGCCATTTATCAGGTAGAACAATTTACTAATAAATCCAATAAACATGCGTTTTATTGATTTTTAAATTGAAAACGATTGAAATGCCTGGCCAATCCTTAATTGGTGGCAACAGCCCACAACTGTAGCCGATTTTTGTGCTGGCTTTTTTTTTTAATTGAATGGAATGCAATCGAATGTCGATCGACCGAGACCAACCAACCGATCTTCATTTCATTTGAATAAACAAAAAGGACAAGCGATCTGTATAAGTGAAAACAGGAAAGCACATAAATGGTAAATTAAAGCTTGTAAAGAATGTATCGACGCATTCGGAATCGGTGCAATTTTGCATATTTGTTTGTGATCGTCAAGGTAGTCAACCATCGTGTCGCATTTTCTGCAATGAGAATAAAACGCTAAATCGAACTGATTGGTTTCGATAAATGTGTATGCGAGCGCGCACGCTGCTCGCGAAAATTGGAACGGATTTGCAATTGTATCACGATTCACGAATTTCAACGCCGAACAATATCCAAATCACCATCATCGTCGTCGTCGTCGTTGTTGTTGTCGGGCATTTTTATTATCACACACGTACAAGTTTTATTTTTCGTTGGTTCCCAGTTCAATGTTTGTTGTTGGGCTTTTTTTTTTACATAAAATTCTTATTATTTATTGAGTGTCTCTGGGTATATTCATGTGAATTGATGGCCAAAAGTGGAGAAAAACAGAGAGAGAAGAAGGCAACCAGTCCGACCAAAAATGCGCGCAAACCGAAAGGCAATTGCTTTGTTCGGCTCGTTCATTCTGGTGTGTGTGTGTGTGCTTTTTTTTTTACTTCTTCATCTCTTGCATTTGAACCTAACCGATGCATTTTTATGATCATCATCGACGTCCTCGTTTCGCCGTCCTTACATATATATCGCCATCGTCGGCAGATTAAGGGTAATTGGAGAGCAACACACAAACACACATAACATCGGCAATACGCAAATATTTAACAAAACACAAAAAGAAAATCAGAACGCGCTCGCACCGACATTTACCTGGTTCTATCCTGGCTGTATTTTCGGTGCGCGCGAGCGAGCAAGCAAATCAGAAAGCCAAAGAGACAACATGAAAAGTAGATGAACGGATTAGAATGTTTCGCGCAACATATCTCTCTTCTTCAGTGCAGACGCATATGAATTGGTTTTTCTTGATGTGATGCTATATGTTTTCGTTGTCTTGCCTCGGCTGGCCAGCAGCAGCAGCAGCAGCAGCAGAAGCAGCGGAGAGAACACAAAACAGCATTCAATTTCCAAGAATTTGACCTCGATCAATGATGTGTAAATATATATGAAACGGTCTTTTCGTGTGTTGTTTTTATGTTGTTGTTGCTTTCATTGGCTGGCTGACTGGTTGCTTGATTGCGAAACGCACATAGACGAATATTAAAAGCCTTAAGACTTAACCGGGACCACAGATAAAACTGCATGCATAAAGACAAAACGCAAAAATTGAACTTTAAATGAAGAATGAGAGAAAGAGGCAGAGAGAGAGAGGGAGACTGGGAGAGTTGAAATAATACCGCGAACACACAACGATTGTATTAAAAAATCAGCGCGTTCAATCGGTAGAAATGGTCGAATGGATTGTGGATTCCACAGATTCGAAGGGTTTTATGTATGTGTTTGTTGAGAGCGACGCATCGCGGAGTGGACACTACACTCTCTAAGAATTATATGCGAAAATGCCCAATGAAGCGAGTGAGTGAGAGAGTGAGTTCGCGATGAAAATACCTGGTTAAGAGCCGCCTCTGTTGTTCGCCGTCGCATACGGGAAGGTCTCTTATTAATTCATTTTTTCGTTGCTGTTTGGTTCGTCTGTGTCTGCACTTTTCTCGTTTTGTGCTTTTTTGTGCTCTCTCTCTTGGTTTCGTATGAATGTTTTTTGGGTTCAATTTTCTGTTCACTGGCGTTTGCTTTCGCTTTTTAATATGCGGGCCCTTGAGCCAATTCGGCTTGTTGTGTGTGTGTTTTCCTTCTTTCTCATTCTGTTATTTGCTGGTTAATTTACCATTTTGATTACTGGCCATTATATGGACTCGCAAATTTTTGGTCCAAGATACGATTGATGCTGTGATTTTTTGGTTAACCGTGCGCCGAACTCTTCTGTTTCGACCAAACCACACGATCAGAGCAAAAAAAGAAAAAAAATATCACTTGGGCGCACTAAATTGAAGGCAGCAAGCTTTTTTTTTGTGATCGCATGCAGATTACTCAACTTTGGACACCATCGTTTTATCGCATCAACAGAAACGAACAAGAGAAATGCACCACGAAGAAAAAAGACACATACATACCTAATGACTGATATCTTATCAGCGGATGTGATTTTAAAGCAAAATTTTTGGAATTCTACGAAATTCAAAGAATGATTTCCATTTACCTAGCGCGCTGGACACGTCTCCTCTCTATCTCTCTCGCGCACTCGCTCACAAGAACAAATCTCGAGCATTTTAATGATAAAGATTTGGAACATTTTCGCTTTCAGGCGAAATTTAGTTAATAATTGGTTGTTTCTCTCCCATTTTTCGACGAGGATAAAAAGAACTGCTGCGCTTGTTGCGCATTTATGTTTGATACAAAAGCAGCGTGGGTGTCGTTGTGCATAGTGTGAGAACAAAATCGGTGCGCTTCGTTTGTGTGTTGTTTTTTCTCTGCTGTTTTCATGTTTATGCGATTATCCAGTGCACCACAGAATCCTGATCGAATTCTTTTAATTGCTACATATTGTTCTTGTTGTGAACAGTGCAATTAAATGTGTTACGATGATTAAATGGCACTGGAACTTGAGTCCATTTGTAGGCAATAAAACTGCTTGTTTGCATTGAAACATAAGATCAGAATGCGAATCGGTCGGCGCACTGCGGTGTGTGTGTTTTTTTCTTCTCATCTCGCTTCGCAAACATTGCGCTAATGAGAATATGTTTCAGTGTTATCGATATTTAACAACAAACTGAAGAAGAAGATGAAAATGAGAAAAAAATGTTGTTGAAATTCCATTGCGTGAATGCATAGATGTGATGGCAAGTAAATATCCCCTCGCACCACGATCCCATTCTAAAACAAAGGAGCTCAACCGAAGCCGAGGTATGAACAACGAGCGAGAGCGACACGAAGTGTGAGCAAAACACAAAGAAGCACGAATTTTGTCGTCATTGATCTATGGGTATGTGGCATTGAATAAAATGCGCAGACTCTCTCACCAGGAATGATGATCATGTTCTACACATAAAATGAGCTTTTCTCTTATCCCTTTGAATTCATTCATTGCAAGCGCGCACGGTCTAGCAAATATTCGACCAAGAAATATGTATAAATACTACACACGAAACGCATTAAATTTTGATCTGTCATAAATTATATTATATTATGTTGTTAAAGGAAGAATCTCTGGCCTTCTTCTTCTTCTTTTCACTAGCGAAAATCATGTTCCTGTGTAGTCGTCGTTTTTTTTTTTCTCTCTTCCTCTTTTTCTTGAATTTTCCAATCAGAATTTATAGCGTACAGAATATTTTAAATGTGGTACCATTTATGCGATTGATTGGTCAAAAACGATGCTGATGATGCTGACACGGTGATGCTAATCATCGGTTTAAGTTAATGAATTCATTGCGCGATTAAATTCACCATTTTACACAGTGTTCAGTGCAACTCCTGCAAAGCACTTAGCATGTAGCACAGTCTATTCACGGCCGAAACCGGGTCGCCGTGTAAAAGTTTCTTCTTCTTTTTTCATACAAGAAGCAACGCGAAATAAAGAAAAAAAAAAACGCGATGTGAAAACGAATCAATGGAAGCAAACAAGGAAAAGAATAACTGAAATAACATTGTAAGCATATTGCACAAATTGATTGTGTACTACACCATGGTCGTGTTTTGAACAACAAAGGCGCAATTCATTTACGAAAGGGCGTAAAACGAATATGATTGACCTATGTGTGCAAGTACAGAAAATATGGAATGAACAGAAAGAACGAAAGCGAAAAAAACTAGCGCAATGAATCGAATGGTTGAATATTTTTTGCGAATGCAAAATCAGTGACTTTTAACTTGGCATAGAATTTATCAAGTGAAGACCATTCATATCTCTGTCTCGTATTTAGAAAACAGCCATAAAATATATCAAAATCCGCATTACACTGTGATTCGTATTGGTCAGTGCGCAAGCGCGCGCGCGCTCTCGTTACCGCTCTCGGTGCATTTAATTTTTTAAAGTTCTAGTTGAATTCCATTCCGTTGTCTTCTTTTGTGAACCGTTTCGAGCTGTCGGCATTGTGTAGTAAAATCAAGAAAATGAAGCAAAGCACACAGTCAGAGCGCGGGCATAGAGAAGCAATGAACAGATAATGTGTGACTAAGTGAATGAATGTCTATGCACTATGGCCAAGCAGCCAGTGCAGAGGAGAGAGAAAGATCTACGAATGTGGCGAATAAGGCGCGTGTACAATGATCAATGTTTAGTTCACGACGTTGGCCAATTCAATACCAATATATGCAGTCAATTTTAAGTAGTCTCGCCACGGATGACTTCAATTTTTTTCGCTACGTGCCTTAATATACTCGTAGCCGTGAGATAGGTGAAACGCAAGAGGATCGTAATTCAATCTCAACGATCGAGCGACTCCAATTGATGACACACAGGGAATAAAAAGAGAACGAAAATAGCAACAATGAACACAGCGTTTGCAACAACACATTCAGCAAGTAGGAATGCCCTTTGTTTGCTGCATAAAGTGCACTTAAATGTAATCAGAATCACTTATATGTGCCAGAGGTGCGATAATGTTGCATCGCACACTCGGAGAATAATTGTCGATAATTGAAAAGCCGACGGTGCGCTGGGCTCGCTCCATAGAGCAAACGATCACGTTATCGATTGAATGCGCTCTCGCTCATTTTATC